TTTTTTTTTTTTTTTTTTTTTTTTGGTACTGGGGATTGAACTCAAGCCCTTAAGCTTGCAAGGCAGACAGCGGCACCACTGAGCTAAATCCCCAGTCCCTAAATTCATTATTTTGGTTTTGTCTGGAAGTCCCAAATGGCCCAAAATGCCTGTGGTTTCTTATCGGGGTTCATTTTTTCTGATTGCTTATCCTTCACCCCAGCTCACCCACTGTTTTTAACCCCATCACTGTCACTACCACCAAACACAGATCAAACTCACACACTTCGTCCCCATCCGCCCAGCACCCAGCAGACACACCTCACCGGGGCAGTGACATCACCCAGAGCGATCCAGCTCTCTGGCACCGGGTCGTAGCGGCACCACAGCTCCCAGTTAAACCCATCCACCGCCAGCGCGTACTTCGTCAGTTTGAAGTCATCAAAACGAATATTGTCAAACACGGGGGATATAATCACGGTGCGGTCTTCCTGAATCCGAGCCAAGATGGGCTCTGCCCTAGAAGAAGAGTGGGTAATGAGCCCGGCTTGAAGACAGAGGCTCACAGCAGGTGTGGGCAGTCCCAGCCGTCCCTGCACCTCACCCACACCTGGACTGCCTTCTCATTTCAACTGCACAGACAGTGAGGAGGATGCTCCAGAGTCCCCAGAATTTATGCGGCTGTCAAGATAGTTGGGGCTGCTAGCAATGGAGCCCAGGACTACCCTCAGGTCACTGGGAACCAGGGCTACGGTCAGTATTCTGTCTGAATTTCCTCTATCTCCTGGGTCTCAGTTTCCAAAGTGGTGTCTTTTGCCTGGTGGTTCTCCGCATTCTCCATCTAATCTTTATAGCATGTGATCTCAGGGCTGGGAAAACTTTAGGAACTAAGAGCGGAGAATTTCTTCATTTTACAGACAAAGCTGAAAATGTCTAGTTCAGTGAAGTGACTTTGTCAAAGTCACTAAGTCGGGGTCAGGACCTAGCTGTTGGTATGTCCAGCCCAGTGTTATTTCTTAACACCACACTGTTCCTCTTAGCCAAACAAACACCTGAGTAAAAGCATCCCTTTGCATAAGGCCTTGGTTGGCTTGTCCTGTATCCTCAACATCCCGTCCTGTGCTTGATACTAATGCATTTTTCCTGTCCTGCCCTTTCCCGGACACCCTTCCCGTGGCCTCACCACCCAGCGTTGACCTCCACGTGGGCGTCCAAGATGGCAACCACATCGGCCGTGGCGGCTTCCCAGCCCAAGTTCCGTGCGTGAGCCAGGCCTTTTCTCTCTGTGTGCCGTACTATCTTCAGTAGTCCAGGAGACATCCGGTTGTAAAACTCAATCTTTTCATCCAAGTGTACCTTTAGTTCTCCTGCCAACCAAATACACATCCACAGAAATACCGTGTGCCATCACCACTGCGGTGCTGTTGCAGAACACTGGTGAGACTTCCTCTGGTGTGGGAAGAGTAGCTCCACAGCCTCAGAGCATAAAACAGGCAGCATTTCCCCATGTCTACCCTGCTCGCCTTTCTACCTTCAGTTTTAACATTACCTCTCCTATTTCCTTTCCCTCACACATGAACCATGTGAGCATCAGCCCTGGTTAAAATGCATTTTATACATGGAGGAACTCTTGGCAGAATGAGTAGGGCACACTTGCCTTCCCTCGGGTGGAGATGCTGGGTAGCACATCTCCACGGCCAACCTCGCAAGACTCTGGGGAATCCATGAGAACTGACACTGATTTGGTCTGGATACTCCTCCTTGGCCTACCCAGGATTACCTGGGATGGAATGCACAGACTAAACTTTTACTAGCTTCTAGGTAAAGAGTTCACTCCCCAAAATTATGCACACAAGATTCACTACTTGTAGACTATTTACAAGTGTTTTTCCTCCTCTCCTTTTTGACCTTATAATGCCCACCTATGCCTTTGTTCTCTGACTGCACCTGCTAGTGGCCTCCTTTACGTGGATGAAAAGTCTGCATGGGAATTCAGAGAACAAGTGTTCTGAGTTACACAGTGACGATACTGACTCTTCGTCCCAGAGATCCCTATGAGGAGGACGCCACAGCATCTCCACTTCACAAATGAAGAAACGGAGGCACAGAGATGACAAACCCTTTCCAGTCACACGGCCAGTGACTGGCTCATGAGCCAGGCTGTGTTCACCCACCAGGTCGTCTGCCTCAAGAACGGTTTGTGTTCCTGGGTGGGCTTGCGAAGCCCTACCCCATCTCCTCTCTCCTCAACAGCTGAGACTCTCGGTGGTTCCTCTCTCAAAAGGGGAGCATACTTGCGAGACCCAGAGTAGCCAGGAACTGGAATGAACACCACATGACCGTGGCATGAAACCCGCCCCAGTGCAGAACTTTCCCAGCTGCACTTGAGAGCGACTGACTCGATTACTGAAGGTGCAGGCAGGGCGCCAGTGAGTCTAGGGCTGTTCGATCCTCCCAGCAGTGAACTTTGGGAAGTGTGGGGTGGCCAGGGGGCCACTCCCCATAATCGCTCTGCCAGCACTTTTAGGATTAACTTACTTTTATGAGCCACCAGGAGCTGACATATGCTAGAAGCTCAATAAAGAGTTGTTGGCTGTGGAATTTGCCGAGCTTTGGGAAGAAAATACAGGATCACCACTATATTGATACAATTTCTTAAAATCTTAGGGTAAATCTGTTGTTGCTTAAGGCATTTGATGCAAATAGAGCTTCACATCTAGGGAAAGAAAGGACAGGAACATTTCTAATACCAGGTTGAGGCATCTGGCCAACAGTACAAATAACACTGAGCTGAGCAGGGAGTAATAAGACAGGCTGGCATTTACTGGGAGCATGTGTGGCATGTTCTGAGCACAGTACATGTATTACTGAGTCCCCAGCATGGCACAGTCTCCCCTCTGTTTCAGACACAGGAACTGATGCATACATAGTTGAGTGACTTCCCCACAAAGTCACATGAATGATAAATCCCCTTATGGCATGTATGTTACTTCCCTCAGTTTAATGCAGCAGATTTCTGAGATAAACCCAGGGAGTGATCCCCCTTCACCAGACCAGGGATAGAACTCAAGACCTTGTACTTGCCAGGCAGGCGTGGCCCCGCTGAGCTACATCCCCGGCCCTCTGGCTGGTATTTCTGTGTAACAAAAAACCAACTTCTGTCTGAGTGACACCAGTCACAGAATGACTAACAATACCTTCATCTGTGCCCACCCAAACTACCGTGAGGGAAGACAGGAGAGGGAGAGGGCCGTGTTGTATCGTGGTAGCAGAGTGTACAATGACAGAGTCCTGTATGGCTTCCCTTTCTGTCCTGTCCCATGTCTGTAATTCTGCATTTTCTGTCTTATTATTCCACAGGGTAATGTGTTCAGTTAAATCCTATCCACCCACCCCTGACCATGGAATTATGGAATCCTTAGGGACCACCCCAAGCATAAAAAGACGTCTGTAATGGTCTTCCAGCTCAACCCTCGCAGAAGCCGAGTCCCAGAGAGGTGAAAGGGCTGGGTTGTCACAGACAGTGAGGGAGCAGGGAGTGTCCTCGCTGACAAGGGCCAGCACCTGAACTCCACCTTTTTGCTGGAAAACCAGCTGTGCATCTTGTTGCCAGTTTTCGTGCCCAGAAAAGAATGACACAGGCCACTTTCTTTTCTTTGGTTTTCAATGGGATTGTTCACTAGAAATTTGAAATTTTTCTTCTTCTCCCCCGCCCTTTTTGTGGTAATGGTGATTGAACCCAAGTTCTTGCAACTGAGCTACATCCCTATCCACTTTTAAAAATTATTAGTTGAGACAAGGTCTCATTAGTCACTAACTTGCTTAGGCTAGGCTTGAACTCGCAACCCTCCTGCCTCAGCCCACCAGAGTGCAGAGATTGCAGGTGTGCTCCACCAGGCCCAGCAAATTCCACTTTCTTATTTCTCATTTAGTTACAGAGGAAGGATACAAAAAGAAAGAATGTAAAAGAAGATGAGAAGTATTTTTCGGTGTTTGGAAATCTGAAAAGGAAGGGTCAGGTGGCCACTGTGTCTCTTTTTCTCGCAGAGAGACTCTGAAGCTATAAGAACTTAAATGAAACTTCAAGATCCCCAGAGGCGAAGCAAATTCTGTCTTTGATGGGTTACCCTTCCGAGCCCACATAGCTAGAAAAATTGTCCTAACACTATCCCAAATTGCCGGCTTTTTAATCTAATCCTGGTTTCTGTTGGTGCTCAAGATTAATGCTGCTAAGAGCGACTGCTTGCTGAGGGTTATGTGCACTAAATGTGGCACCTGGCCGGTTTATTATCTCAGGGAGCCTGGCGGTTAGTGCTGGCACCTGAGGCTCAAGCTCACAGTCAGATCTGTCCTGCCACCCGCCACCTGAATGACACTGAGAGAGTTCAAGTAGTCCGTGTAACCGGCAGGAAAGTGGTTTGTTTCTTGGAGGGTCATTGTCATGATTAAAAGCGCCAACACGTGTAAGGTGTTCAGAGCAAACAGCGTCAGCTGCTATTCTTGTCCACTTCCTCCTTACTGCGGCTCACAGAATTGTACTCATGACCAACATCTGCGTTTTACACATAAGGAAATGTAGCAGTTAAGTTGCCAAGGGCACAGCGCCTATAAAGAGGGACCTGGGACTACAAATTGAGAAACTGAGGGCTCGAATCCATTCTCTGCCATTTCCCACACCCTGCCCAGGGTGGGCTTGACCTGAGACACAGCAGCCTGTGGGTAAGTGTGGCTGCCCCCAGGCACCCCAGCGCTCACAGCTCCCTCTTCTCCAGGCTTGAGCACTGGGAGAGATCCCTGCTCCCTTCCTCTGCAGGAGCAGTCTGGCTCCCTTCTTGCTGTCCGAGGCCCTCCTGGCTGCCCACGCAGCTGGCACATCCAGCCCCGTTGAGGTGCACAAAAAGGGCACAGGCCGCTTTGGGGTGACCCCAGCTCCGCGCCCACCTGTCGTGCCATCTGGGCACACCATGCAGTCATCTGTGTCCGAGTCTCCTCAATGTGCCACCAAAAGAACGGTCTTCTCTCCTGGCTGTGTGAAGCTGAGTGGCTGGCACAGATGGCCCATGGGAATACATTTGCTTTCCCCTCCCCGGGAAGCCTGAAGCTTCCCAAACCCGAAGCTGCAAGCCCTTCCCAGCCAAGCACAGGTGATAAACAGCGACTTTTACAAATCTCCCTGCTCACCATTAGAGCTGAAGTCATCCACCAGAATGATTTCCTTCAACAGCCACGGGGGTGTCTGGTTCATGATGCTGGTGATGGCGCGTTGAATGATGGACAGAGCTTCATCGACAAATATGAGGATAACGCTGAGAGAGGGGAGCTGGGCAGGGTACACCTTCTGAAGACACCTGTCAGAGACCATTTTTGGAACCGTGTTATTTTCACTGACTTAAACCTTGCTATCCAGTTTCCCTTTGCTTCACATGGCCCTATCAGTTGACACAGCAAACCCCCAGGCCCCTCACGGAGAGAAACTCTCAGTTGGTCATCACAGTACCGCGGACATTGCTCACCTACTTACTTAGGATCATTCTGTTACGTGGGTAACAAACTTTCTTACAATTAATTTTCAATAGGTATTAACTCTTGGATTACTCCTCACCCCCCACAAAGAATTCTCGTTCCCCTCCCACCCCCAAATTAGCTTCCTTGTCTGCAGCCTTTCCTCCCTCCCCTCATTGCTGGACTTCAGTCACCTCTGACAACCTCCCCACTTCACAAACAGAGGCGTGAACTGTCCACATTGCGGTTGACACACTTTTTAAAATTATAGCCTACACCTATGAATGCCTGCCATATGCTAGGAACCCACTCACTCTTACTTTACAGCTTTATTGCCTTAAGATTGATATATTAAAAACTGTACATAGCTGGTGTGTCTGATCAATGGGTTTGGATATATGGGTACACCCATGATACAACTGCCCAATCAAGGTAATAAATGTGTCCACCAACTGTGTGTACATGTGTGTGTTAAGGCCACAGCGTGAGATCTGTGCTCTTAGCAGATATTTAAGTATATGAGTCTGCGCTGTCAAGTAGAGGCACAGATGTCTAGAATTCATTCATGTTGTATAAATAACTTTGTACACATGGGACAACAACTCCTAGTTTTAAACATGATTATTGAGATAGAATTTATGAACAATAAAATTCATCCATAGAGGTATGCAATTGGTATATATTGGTAAAAGTAGTAATTAGTCACAGAGTAACTGTTGCATTAATTTTAGAATATTTTCATCTACAGAAAGAAACACTAAAATATACCTGCCACTCTCGCACTCTCCTCAGTCCGTTCCACCTCTGCCTTACATGGTCACAGCACCCACCAATCTAATTTCTGTTTCTACAAAATTACCTATTCTAGACATTTCATGTAAATATGGATATAGAACAAGCTCTTCTGCTGCCGGCTTCATCCACTCAGCATAATGTTTCAAAGTTCATCCGTGTTACAGAAGGTATCACCACTGCATTCCTTTTTATTGTCAAATAATATCTCACTGTATAGTGACACAGTTTCTCCACTTACCAGCGGGTGGACATTTAGGATGTTTCCCCTTTGTGGTCATTAAGAATAACACTGTGATGAACGTTCCTGAACATGATTTTATACTGGTGTATGTTTTTATTTCTCTTTACAAAGTCATGGGCCACAAAACAAACATTTCAGTCAAAAGCAGACCTCATATGCAGCCGTGGTCCCACATAGTATACGCCCGCAGGCTGTCTCGGCCTATGAGGGTGCACCTCTGGGACATTCCCATGACAGCGACTTCTCCAGAAATTATTCCCTCACTGAGCAACATGTGATTGTATCTGGGTCTCAAAAAGAAAAAAGGAAGTGGAGTAGAGATTTCCAAACTATATTTTTAAGAAATACTGACTAGCTAGGGATTTAGCTCAGTGATTCTGCCACCTGCCTTGCAAGCACAAGGTCCTGAGTTTGATCCCGGTACCAAAGAGAGATAGGAGAGAGAGAGACAGAGAGAGAAAGAGAGAGAGAGAGAGAGAGAGAGAGAGAGAGAGAGAGAGAGAGAGAGAGAGAGAGAAGAGAGAGAGGCAGAAG